CAACTTCCTCACAGAGTACGTCTGAAAAAATGGCACATGCATTTAAGTAATTGAGATAACGCCTCGATTTCCAAAATCAGAATAGTTTTAGAAAACTAAAACGGATTAGGTTTGGCTGGCATAAATTTAATCTTCAAAGATTTGCTCAGGGTAGCTGTGAATGAAGTCTCGTATCTCTCTCTTCCCAGTGTCTCCTAGGGTGACCAGGCTAAAGACCCTCGGCCTTCCTGAGATGTAGAAGTGCACAAAGGCCTCTGCAGCTTTTGATAGGCAGCAGAGACTGAGCAGGCCCTGGCACCTCTTGGACAGAGTGTTGGGTATCCTTCTATTTACTCTTTTGTATTGTGCCCACTGAAATGGGCTTCTGATGTGTGACTGAGGGCACACACCTCGAGCACAATTTAAAGCACCTTTTTTTTTAAATAGTTTATTGTTTCCTGATTTGTTTTAACGCATATTATTTCAGCTGGTGAACAAGAGCATGTAAAATTAACATAACCTTATGGTTTTCTTACAAATAAACATAAAAATATAACAGAATGATTTTTATATCACTGTTTGCCTACCCAGAAAGTCAATGGTCTGTTTACATGGGACACTTTGGGCCACAACTCTTTTTCAAATCTCAGGATTATCTAATCAGAATTCCATAAAAGAAAAAACAAAGACATTAGCGAGTCTGGACTATGGTAAAAATTAGGTGTCAAGTCCAGAAAAAATTTCCTATTTTCAATTTAGACAAAATTATGATCAGAAAATGCAGATTTTATTGAAACCGGGAATCATTATATACCTTTACCTCTGAATTGTTTGTAAATACACGGTACCATTACCAAGGCAGTTCTGGTAGGCACCCAAAAGATCCCAGCAGTATACAGTGTCACCATGTATTTCGGTAAATATACTAAAGCTGGTTGTGAGACTTGCAAATCACCTCTGAACTTCATAAATCTTGACCATAAAGTCTATTTTTCAGCAACTGAGACTTAGTTTTGTATGGGAGATGTGCACAATAAATTAGATTTGCATCAATTTAGGAACTTTTCTGTGATCCTCATGTTTAGCAGGCACTCAAGTTGTAGAGAGCTCAACAATATAAACCAGCTCACTTCAAGCATGCTTATTTGCCAAAAGTGAGGCGCATGCTTGATACGCTTGCTGAATTATAGCGTATTGTCTAAATACTTCAAATATTTTTGAATGCACTTGTTACAGATGGCACGCAAATATTTGGAAATTGGTCAGGGATTTGGCTAAGCGTGAGGAGCAAACAGGCTAATGCAGGGAAATACTCAAAGCCTAACTTGCTGATGCAATCCTTGCTTGTCCCTTGCACCCTCAATTTTTACATGAGTTGATTCAACCACTACTGCGGCTGAAAACAGTTGTTGGAAGGAGAGTGAAAGGAAAGGAGGGGCAATAGTTTTCTGCGTGAGCCCTGTGTTACATCAGCTCACAGATAAGTTCTGCAAATACCAGTCTGAGGTTAAGTAGCAGGAGGGCATGGCTACACTGAATTATCTCAGGTAATCTCATTAAAAGGCACTCTTGGATTGCAGCTCTGCTGCAGCCAAGTTGTGTGAACACTGGAGCAAAGCTGGGGGCAGTACTTTTACCTATGAAAATTTAATTTTTTCCTTCTGAAGCTGATAGAATCATCTTTATTGTGTGGAGCCATGACAAGAAAACTTGGCTGACATCTCAGTACACTTAAATGCAAAGTCACTCATCTAACAAGTGATGTCCCACTCGAAGACACCACAAAATAGTATTGACCGAGAAAGTTACCTGTAGTAGCCAGCCAACTGAACAGGAATCAACTAAAATATGAGGAGCCATCACTGTAATGGAGTGCCCAACAAAACAAATGCTGCCCTTGCCCTTACCAGCAAGGAAAATGATTACGGCAGTACTAACATGAACAAGACTGGTCCTTGGGCACTTTTAGAAACAAGGGACAGTGAAGTAGTGTTTTAATTTGGAATGCACAACATGGCCACCTCCATGCAGCAAGAGCCTGTGGAACTAGGGAGCACCTCCAGAAGGCCAAATGCTGGATTTTGAATGCTTCAAGGTTTTGGTCCACGATTAACTATGGCACACCATGCTAAGGAACCCACTGGTGTGGAGCCAGAACTGTTCTTTGGAGTACACCCCAGATTAAACTGTCTGGCTTTAGATAGAGTATTGCCATCAAGATTCTTATCTTTGGGGGCCTTAGAGGCCACTTCCCCTTGCAGCTTTTAAGGATTACAATGGCAAAAGTACGTCTAATGTAGATTCATGTTACAAATGTTGTCCCACATGGGATACAGGCATTCTGGTCCTCATTTTCTGTGCTTCATCCTTTGACAGTACACTGCGCATCTTAGTCTTTCATTGAAGCAGTGCTCTCCCACTACCACACTTAGAACTCCTTCTGAACCATTAGTAGACTCTTGTACAAGATTCTTGCTGGTTATTAATTCATATACTTAATGTACATTTTTACTGACAATTCTAAGAACGAATAAACAGCTTTTTCATCTTTCCGAACAGACACACATAATCCAAAGAAACCCCAAACTCTTTTCTGATACACCTGTGTAGGTAGTCTCATCCTAACATTCCTCATGAGTCCTCTTCTGCAGTAAGAATGTACTTTTCCCCCAACCCCCTTGACTCAAGGAACTCATTTGATTACAGAAAGTCACCTCATTTCATTACTGGTTGATAAGTTATTTTAGTTACCTTGGTTTGTCTTACTTCTGCAGGTATTAACTGTTTTCATTCATTAAAAATGGCCATACCCAGCAGTTCTATTTTTAGATTATTAAATGCAAGTATTCCAAAGACAGCTGATTGAGAATGACACCAAGTCAAAGTTTTGGCTATACTTTTATTTACTTCACGTACTATGAACATATACATTACATGCTACAAAAAAATAAAAAAGGACTTTAACTGTCAAGAAAGTGGATAGTGTTATAATACAATGGCACATGTTCATATTTTTCTTCAAACTGGTTTGGTTAGAATCCTTCCCCAAAACCATTAACAAAAATGAAGTGTTTTACTCTTAAGATGATTAGAAATATTTGCATTATTAACAAATACAATTCAAACAGAGTAACAAGATTTAACCAGGTCAAATATTAGTAAAAAGGCTGGGGTTTACCAAAATGAAATATATATTAAAAAACCATAGCAGCCAGTTGTACTTTTTAGTGTGATATAATGTATAAATGCACCAGAAGAACACAGTGTAATTGAGCATTCTGCTTTCACGGTGTATTTCTAGAAATGATTATTCTAGTTCTAACACCTGCCTATGCACAAGAGACCAAAACCACAGCCAAGTAGAGACAAAAGATTGTGACCAACATTCTTAGCAATGATTTCTTTGCACGCATCAGGGAGAAGGGAGGGAACAAATAGAAGAGGATAAACAAAGGCCACAAAAGGATTTAATCTACATGTTCATGAACATATGTTCTACCTATTTTCCTTTAAGAGCTTGATAAGTTGAAATGTCTATTTTGTCCAAATGCAAACATATCATTTCTATCACCTATGAAACAAAATCACATTTCGGCTTAGAACTGAATAGTGGAAAACAGTTGCATTAATGTATCAGTTGACTAAGAAAAACTGCTTGACAAGAACTTAGGATTCTAGTGCAACAGCAGCTATTAAGACTCCTCTAGTTTCTTTTTTTTGCTCTTTCAAAGTGTACAAATATTTGCAATTTATACAGTCTTAACAAAAACACATCTACAAAGTTTGCAGGGTATTTGCTAGTTAATTCAATTTGTCTTTCATATTAAAAAGGCAAGATTTGCATAATAAAATTCCTTTCAGAAAAAAGTTCTTTTGGTATCTTAAAATAATTGCTGATTGGAAAGGTACAAACATACCGGCTTTCATTAATTGCAATTGGAAAAAATACTTCAGAACAAACTGTGTTACTCTAAGAACACACAGTTCATTATGTTTCTTTTGCAATACCTGAAGAAAAATATAAGCATATATGGGCAACTGATAAACTCAGTATTAAGTCTATTATTTAGAGTGCAGCTATTGAAAAAAAAAAAATCAGTCATAGTAAATATCAAGGTCAGAGGAAAAATGCAAATTAGCCTTAAAGAAACCAATGTGTTACAGAACCTAGAGTTAGTTTCTCAATTTTTTCCTCAAAGTAGATTTTGTACTAAACTAGAAGAGATCCCACAATCACTGGCATATCACCCTAACCAGATAGCAATCCAAGCTAGAATAGTACTGCAATTCCTTTGTTACCATTCTTCTTACACCACTGTCACAACTGTCAGTTTTCTAATAATCTTCAGTAGTGCTTATGAGATTGGTGATGGAAAAGTATAATTAATGTACATTGGCGTTAGTCTACAGAATTAATGAGTGCCCATTACCTGAAAATTAGTCAGACTTGCTGATGGATTAGTTGTGAAGTAAAACAACTAGTACTTAAATATAACAGAAACATTACCATTTCCAGCATGTTACACAGTTCTGAGGTAAAGTGTTACCAGTATTCTCTTGTACGGGTCGGTGCCTTGCAGCAACAGCCTCTGCAGCGGAAACTAGCCCTCGCAGCATTTACAGCCAATGACCTATTCTAGTCACGTGGTTTGTATCATCCAAAATAACATTTTCAGTTTGATACGATTTAGAAAAACTGTTCTCTATGGATTACATCGTAGTCAAAGTTACAAAATTTGTTTGCTTAAGTTTGGTCACTAGAGTGCTGTGTTTGGAAAACAATCCAGGGTACAGGCAAGGGATAGTTACTTCAGTGTTTAATTTCAGTTTACAAAACTTACTGAATCCATTCTGATTTATGTTAGAGAAAACCAGATAATTAGAAGAACAGACTAAAAAAAACAAAACAGAAAACAAGCAGTGCGTAATACCACCTATTCAATGCACCGATTTGCATTATGAGCTATGAAGCCATATTTACTCTATTACGCATTTTGAGAATCAATCCAGAAGCACACAAGTTATTTTCCATTAGTTTATTAAAAATAAAATCCTCATGAATTCACTATCAAATATTTTACAGATGGGAATTAAACCAGAAGAGTCCCCAGAGTAACTTAAAAATAAAAGTAGTATTTGGTTTGTCAGTTCACCATGTTTGACACCGATTTGTACTGTAAGAGTATTGTACAATAGGAGTATTGAAGAATTCTAGAAAAATTAAACTGGCCCTATATAATTTAATTTTATTGGAAAGCAGTGTCAATATTTTAGTATATTTAGTGAATCAAACACTGCTTTAAAGCTATGCATTAAAGTGCTATGCACATATTTTTCAGCACTGATAGGGATGTTTACACTTCCATAAGCCTTGTATTTGTGGATAAAAAGATACTGGTGTGCTAATAGAAATCTTAATTTAAAATCAGCTGCTATGTTTGAAGCATCAACAGTACTGAAGAAATCAATCTAGTGTCCACAAACTTCTAGAACTCCGAGGTTGATTTGATCTGTCATTTACCATTAAAATGGTAAGCATCTGTAAATCCTGTAAAGCTGTCCCCAATGGGCTCTACATATAACTGTACTGTGCACAGTTAACTGACCGTGCAAAGTACTATATAGCCTTTCTAGGACAGAGAATTCAGGATGGAAAAAAAAAAACATGGAGAAAGCTCCAGGATAAATTTGTGAAATTTCCATCTATATATTGAATTGTCTAAGGTTGATGTTCATTGCCTGAAGAAGAAGCAACATAAGTAATAGGATCGGAGAGAGCTATAAACGTTATTGTAACATCTACGTTACTGCTTTCTCCAACTGCTGCTGCTGGCAAGGTCCAGTCTGCTGTGCACATGGACATAAGCAGGCATTACAACCTATAATCATGTACTAGTTCTGCCACTTGACACACAAGTTATCTACTGTCGTACCCTGAATTACATGACCCTTGATTAAGGAATGGTGGTGTTCAGTCCCAGGGGTTTGCAGGTTATCAGAATGCTTATACAAGCAATACTGCTTTCAACATCTGTCGGAACATAGTCTTGATGGCATCTGTAATAAAAACAAGTTGAGATTGTTCCCATCTGTAAGCGCAACTGTTGAGCCACACTCAGCTGAAGTCCTCGTCAGGATTCTGTTGATCCAGCAGGCGGACGTGTGTGAATGGAAAGTGACCACGTCTGCCATTACACTCTCCTTCCCACTGACCACTCACGTTAATCTTTGTGACCTTTACCAGCTCACCGACCTGCAGGGTAAGAAATAAGAAAGGGTTACAATTCATAAAAACACACAGGATGAGCTGCTACCCCTTCCCTTTGGTGTCAATCACCCAACCGTACCAGATACATTTCTGTAAAAAATAGTTTTAGTCTTGACCATTTTTCATACACCAGCCTACCACCCAATGTTATTCACTCTTGAAGAAAGTAAAGAGAGAAAGAAGCATACCTAGCTTAGGTGAGAACTACCTAAATTGAAGAGCTTGCAATCCAACACCAATCTTTCAGAGCACTCTTGGGACTTGACATCAGCTGCTATCACAATAAACACATCAGTCTTGCCATGACAGAGGCTTGCACTCTGTACCTCATCAACAGCCTCATTAAGGGAGGGAAGGCTTGAAGGTGTACAAAGTGAACATTGATCTGCAAGTTAAACGGCTCCTTAATTTTGAAATTCCACTAAGCGCTTTTCAGGTAGTATTGAAGAAGTTCTGGATAAGTGGGGGCTACATATATATGTGTGTGTGTGTGTGCACGTGTGTGTGTACATATACACACACAGCCACAGATTATAAAACACAGGGAGAATATGTGAGGGAATAAGTAGTGCCGTAAGGCTGCTCTGTTCTCACTCTAAGCATCCACAACTAGCCGACTAGAGGCACGGCCACATGGTATTTCAGTCTTGCCCACCACGGATTTCTCACATAAATAAATTCCATGGGTTTAGTAAAGACAATTGATGCCCTCTTCCAAAAGAGTGGTTACTATGGACCGATGAAACAATATGCTCTAGTTTAAAAGTATCCAGTTCTAATGTACTACACTAAATAAAAGCACAGTAATATATCTCATATTCTAATCTCCAACCTAATATTCACATAACCAATTCTAAAGGTATTGTCTTCCTTTGACAAAGGTGGAAAACTGCACAGCAGTCACTTTCCCAAGGCTGTGCAGTCACGTAGTTCAAGTCAGGGCCACAAGTCTAGGTCTAATTAGTCCCCAACTCTGTTGTATCTTGAAGGGTACTTTTATTAAGTAGCACTTACACAACCTAAGAAAGTACAACTTACATTGTAAAGACTGGAGTGTTAATAAATGCAACACTGAAAAACTGTCTACCCATTTCTACCCCTCTGTGTAGAATTTTATCAATAATCTTATTTACAAGTAACATCCAATGGTTTTCAGAGTTTTTCCCGGGTTACAGATGGGAATGCTTTTGGGACAGATATATTCTATTTTCTTTCACTAATACTGTAAATAAACTCTCAAGGCATGGCCACAAGCCTTACTGCATTTCATCCAGAAATTGACTGAATATACAGTTACTAGTTTACACAGATGCTCATCGCTGTGTTCCAAATTCATCCAAAACAGAATCTCATTATTCTCACTTTCCAGGCAGTGAATGAAGAACATGGAAAACAATTTAAGATGTTACCAATCTCCATTAACTTTACAGGTCTTAATCACTTGCAATCTTTCGCCAGAACAGCTTTTAACAGTTCATAAATTCAAACCACTACATGGACATTTAATTAAGCTTCCTGTACCTCTGATAATTACTTATCTGGTAATGAGAGGCACGCTTGGGACTCTGTCTGTAGCTCTATTTTTTCGTTTTGTAGTCATTAGTATACACATTTTAATGAATCATATTTTGAAGAAAATCCTCTTATGTATTTGCTACAGGCAAAAAGGAAGCCCTCCTCGACTACTGAATGCTAGTTTCAGCTCTTTAGGAATTTAATCACGCAGTATGTATCATTTTGCTACTGCTAATAATCACTGGGGGGTTGTACCAATAAAAATACTCTGTTGAGCAAAACAAAACATCAGCTATAATTTAGCAAGGATAAGATGAAATGTGACAATACTAGAAGCAGAAAATCTTATTTCCTAATCACAACCATTGTAAGAACACTACCCTAGATAACCTTAAATTGCTTCATACCTGGATATAATCTACCTATCAGCCTTCAACAGGAAAGTATATAACCTCCAACCCACTAGGAAAGAAAAAGCACAAGTTGCACTTAAGCTTACTATCTGTAAGATATTTTTCTTAGACTGCTGGCCTCTGTGCTCTTATTGAATGTCACCCACTACTTTTGTGGTCATATAGAGTTTATCTTGGATACCTTATGACAAACTCACCAGCAACAGGTGGGTTCAAGAGTGTAATGATAGTGAGTTAGAATACAGGATACTTGTGACACTCCCTCACTCCCAGAAGCATCCAGTAGCTGTTTGGTTTTCAGGGATTACAGCAAAGGGACACCCATTTATAAATTCTCCTTACTATAAGAAGCTACACCCAAAATTTGCATTTCAATAATTGTTAGAAGAGGCAAAACCTCTGAGCTTAAATATTCCTTTTTTTACCATTATGGTAATTTCATTTAACAACCACTCTCTCCTTCTGATACAATCTTTCATTCACATTTCATTTATATATATCTTTACACCTATCAAAGCAGAATTGACTTTAAGTAAGCATGGGTCATTTCACAAATGCTAGCTTAACAAAATGGCTCCATTAGTTCCTTAATAACTTACAGATCTTTCTAGATCTGCTTTGAAACTTTGCGTATTAATATATAGTTCAAATACTCTCCTGAAGACAATACAGAGAACCTTTAAAAAAAATTACTCATTATTGCAAGTGCTGGAATTTTAAAACATTTAGACTAGAAGCAGACTCTCTGAATTCTCCTCACTTTTAATGTTGACTTATGGTATCGTTAGTCATATTGTGCATCATCCCACCAAGCACAGCACCTCAAGAACAACACTGTACCCTGCTATAAAGCCAGATTTGTCTCAGTCTTCATCAGAAGTTTTAAAACTAAATATATCCCATATGCTTCAAAGCAAAACTGTAGGTTCATTTGAAGACTTCTGTATGCTGTGGTTTTATTCCAAGTACTCCTCTTTGGTAAGGTCAAAATGGCAGAGTTCTGCTACTGTTACAAAGAAAAAAAATAAATTGATCGATCTCAGAGTCATTCACCACATAGATCTTCCCTTTTTCTCCTCTCTTTTCTCTTAATTAATACAGACTGACAACTCCTTGAATAGGTCCAATTACAAGCAAAATAAAAGTTATCTTCCCCTGATGAATCATTTTTCCATAATATAGCACAGCTCTGATCCTCCTTCCTTGAGCTCTTCAAAACCATGCCAGTTTTAAAAAAAAAGTCTATAATATAAATACTCTGTTTGCAGTTTGGGCCAAAAATGTTTGATGTTAAGAATCTATTTTCCTAAGAGAAACAGTGGGATCCACCCCCACCCATGAATATTGCCAGATTTAAGGATAAGAGCTTTCATTTGGAAAGAATCCCACTTTCTATATTTATAGTTATTAAGAGGTCTGGGCAAAAATGGACTGGTAAGATTTACATAATGCTTTCTACTAAGTTATCTAAGAAAGAGATATCTAAATAAACAGAGAAAGAACACCACAAAGTGAAAGGGAATGTGAAAAAAGGAGACAACAAGAAACAGTACTTTGATAGACAGGATGAAGAAAAACTTGGAGAAAGCGAAGTGTATATTGCTATTTTTTCCTGTAGAGACATTGAAAACAACTCAGTAACACTGTGATTTGAAATGAGAAAAGCTGTAAAGAAGCGAGGAAGGCCTACTAGCAGCAGTGATAAATAGCTCACATTTTAAAACTAAAATTTCCCAATATCATGTACAGAATAAAGAATCACCATTATTACTGCATTTCTTAAATGTAGAGCTGTAGCAAGACAGGAACACATCATTCTAACTAAGAGGTTCAACATGTCAACTAGTAAGCATTTAAGTAAGTTTACAAGGCTTACAAAGGCCATTGTTCTAATACAAAGGTGGAAAGACGCTGTAAGTCTTACATCCTTACACAGATGGGCAGAGCCTATGCACTTCTCAATTCCCCCCTCCCAAACACTTCAGCTCTCTAGCCTATCATCATGAGTTAGTAAAAGACACTAGTGGTGCAAGGTAGCTCACAATAGAGATGTTCTCCATGAAAGTACAGTCTCTAGAGCACAGCTTACTTGACAGATCATGTGAGTTTTAGGGAAGAGGACTGAACTATCAGATCAGCCATGGCACTTACAAGCTGTTCTTTACGTGTAAAGGATTTTGCTTTCACTCAAAGTTGCTTACGATGGCCTGGATTATCAGTATTTTATTATCAGGATTTTCTCACTCTCTCTATTTCACTTGACACTACCAAACTGTGAGTTGGGCAGTGTTGTGGGGTTCTGCTTTAAGTGAAATAAAATGTAAAGTTAAGCTTAAGAGAACACTAGTAGCACACTAATAAATAAAAGCTTAAAAAAAAAATCCAGAAGGAAAACCAAAAGTTTTTGATAAATATGCCACAACATAATATCCAGTGGCTCAAAGAAAATCTAACATCTGGTAATTGCAACAGTCCACAACTACATTCAGGAATATTTCCAAGCTCCAGGAGGTGGCTGGGTGGAGAGATAGACAACATTTTAGGCTGTATGAAAGTCTGAAGGTTAAAATCTTCACGTTTCCCCAAAATCTGGTGAGTTGGCATAAATTTCTATACATGCTTCTCAACCCAAAAATTTACGTTCTGTATCCAGGCTCTTTTTTGATTCAGAAATATAGCAGAACGTATACTAACTCAGTTACAGTATTTACATTGCTTCCCTAGATAAATTTTTACCTACAACAGGGAAAAATTTCACATCTCCCAGGTTGTACATCAATTATCAGATCTGTAGAATGTGCTGCATTTGCCAGTTCTGTACTAAAGACACATACCTATAGTTGCCACATCACTGAAGTACTGAAGTGCTTTTTGTGCTATGCACGATTAAACTAAGTATTTGAGAGTGAAGAGGAGATGCTCTGACTCAGCACAGAAACTGTTTTTTCCCAAGTACTTAAAATGTTATATAAACAGGAAGTCAATTAGGTATCAGGAAATTCCAGAGCCTTTAGCTCAAAGAAAGCCTAGATTAAAGGATACAATTTACATATCATCCTAAGGCAAAGGTCTGCCACTGAGAATACCTTAGTCTCAATTTCCTCAAATGTAACTTGGGGGATAACTATCTGATGCGGGGAGATAGAGCACTCTAGTCTCCTTTTTAAGAGGGGGGGAAAAAAAAACCCAAACCAAAAAGGGCACGTACAAGTACTTGATCATATCAGGAAGTGAATCAACCTTAGGGAAACTCGCTGCTTTATTACAAACCACTCCATCAATCACTGCTTTACATGAGACCTCCCTAATGAATTGTGATCTATGTTTCTGCTTCACAAACTAAAAACCAAAGTAATCTGCTTGAGGTCAAGATGTTACAATAAAACCCTATGTGTGATCATCATCACCATCTCAGTCTGTGTAATTTTAAAGTGACTATCAATGTTTCCACTGATGGCTTTTAAACTGCTGACAGATTGGGGGGAAAAACCACACAAACAACAAACAAACGACCCAGCACACCTTTTAAAGATTGGGGTGAGGCAAGCAACAGTGAACAGAGGTTCAGACAAACAACTTATGAACGGCTCCCTCTCCCTCCCCCCTAAAATAAAGATTTCAGAAGTGAAAACATGGATGGGGAAACACTTATGTTAGTGATGTTTGACAAAGACATGATATTGGTTCAGTAACCTAAACATGCTATAATAATCAAACTCTAGTCTACAAGTGACTCTAGTCACTTATTCATTTAAAAAAAAAAGCCTTTATCCGTAACTTATTAATTATGATGTAAAACCAGTATTACAATGCTTTTCCCTTTCTTATTCCTACAAACTGTAATGTGATTGAAAGGGAAATCCCTTGAACAGATCTCTTCTTTCTAAGTTTTGCCCATTATGTACCTCCAAAGCCAAGGCTGTCTTGTCGTAGGCATTAGGGACTCGCTTCTGGATAACCCGGGCATAAATAGGGCCATTCTGAAGGTTAGGGAGCGGAGTGTTGATGCTGGGCTGGGCATAGGGCCCTGGCTCCGGCCCACCCAGTGGTTGTGGGTGGGAACTATCCTGGTTACCTCCAATCAGAGTAGATACTGAAGCAGAGGAAGGTCTATACTTCTCGACGTAAGGAACAGGTATCATTCCCCTCTTTCCTTCGCTGTCTTCTGCATTCCACCATTGCTCTTCAGGCTTATCCCGGATTCTCAGTATGTCTCCTTTCTTAAATGGAAGATCTTCTTCATCATTTCCATTAAAGTCAAAGAGAGCTCGCACATACTCGGCTTCCTCCTGCCTGAGGATAACGCCACTATTCTGCCTGGATCGGGAAACTGGTTCTATCAAGGTTGTAGTGTCCAAATAGTGTATTTTGTAGAATTCCAGTAAAGATGGCAAAGAATCAAACTCTTGGTCACCTATTCGAAATCTGGTGGGATTCAACCCTGAAAGAAGAAGGCAATATGTCAAAGAGAGCATCCAACAGTTACTACTGTAAATTAAACATTTGAGAAGATTAATATATTTACAGATAAGTAATTTGATATTGAATTTGGTCATCTTTAAATCAACATTCATCATATTCAGCTCCTCTGTGTTTCTAATCAAAGGCAGCACTATCGTGATTGTGTGGATAGAGTTTTCTTTTTAACGATTTTCTCAAAGAAGGAAAAAAGAAATTGTTTGGCACTGCCAAACTTCCCAAATTAGGATAAAAATATCTTGTTTCCTTGAACGGTATATGGACCCAACAGATAGAAGTATTCGGTATGTCTGAATTTCTCAAAAGCCTATACAATTTTCAGTAACAGACAATTCCCTTTTTCCTGTTTTACACTCTAATCTAGAAAGCAAATGAAATTTTGGCACAATTTCAAGGAAGTTTTTTTTTTTAAACTCTCTTTTGCAGCTCAAAGTTATTTCAAAAGGACAACACTGCAATAATGGTTATTTATCTGTTGTAACGTACCTTGGTTTAAAGGCACGGACACTACAGAAAATTGTGTAGCGTAGCAGCAAACAATTTATGTGAATGAGCAAATGAAGTTATTTTTCGTTTTGATAAAAGGAGAAAATTGATTTTAGAGAAAATTATGTATCTTTTATGCAATGCAAAGCAACAACATATGTTTTCATAATGGCTATAATTCAGTCTTTTAATCTCAAGTCTTGTAGTTTCTTTGCCATATTTGTCAGATGAAGCCTAAGCTATAAATCTGAACATCAAATACATTAAAATACAGATGATGTTCATATTCAAGTCATTAGAAGTATCAAAGTGCAGATATCCATTTCAGTTTTCAATCTGTGTGCTGCACTTTTTTTCCATTTTATGTTCTTCAGGCTCAGCTGGAGAAAAACATACACATGATGTTCTATTTCCACCATGCACCATACACTGTGTAATCAGTTATGAGAAGAATTGTGGAAGGCTGGGGGAGGGTAGTGGAGAGGAAAAGATTTATGCTTTAATGAGTAACTCTTTTAGCAAGAGAGAGATGCTTACTTTGCAAGTCTGTGTCTCTGCAGGGAATATCTAACAGTTCTGAGACTTAGCTCTCAAGTACAAAGCTAGCAGAATTCTTCAAGCTGTCACTGATCCAAAACCCCCTTCAAAGTAGCACTGTCAGCATGGAAAGCTAACATTACAAGACGTTCTTTCAAGAGAGCAAAAAGGGGTTCTAATAGAGAAAAGGGCAGATTCCATAAGATCAACACAGACAAACACCCGACAAATAAGTTTTAAAGTATCCTGAAGGAACATAAACATCAGTCAAGCTGGTTACAGGAAATTCAAAGCAGCAGAACTAAGTCATCGGAAAATGCACATTTGCATGCATCAACAGCCCTGAAAGACTTTCAAAAGAAATCAGCACAAATGCAATGAGCCAAAAACCAAAAGCAATACCCTCAAAAAATTACAAAAAACCCCAAAACACAAACTGGCATCACCACGAGATAAGGAAGCTAATGTAAATGTCAGTAAGAAATATGAACCCAGCATGGAAAGAGAAGATTCCACCTTATTCTCCCAAAGCATAATGCTGAAAAGATGCAAAACCCTCTCAACTTCTGTTCTTGCTCTAGACTTAGCAAGAAGTCTGGAATTTCATCTCAGTGGCAGTTCTTAGCTCTGTGGTCTCACAGGAAAGGACTTCTGGCTGGACAGGCAGCATCCACACAGCACTTCAAAACAGGTTAAGTCCACTGCATAAGCATATAACATGATCTGGGAATGCTGCACTTCTGCTAGCATTGGAAGTGGGAAACCATGCTTAGTAACAAGTGGTATAAACATCAAGTTTCAACAAACCTGGTGACAGAAACACGAGTGTGTATCTGCTACTATTTTAGATGTGAACCTTCAAGGATCAAGGCTTATGTAGACACTTATGTCAAAAGAAAAAGTCATAGAAACTTTAAGAGGACCAAGGCAGCAGAGATCTTTGAAGTCATATGGAGAAGACAATCTCAGGTAAGTTCACTGTCATGGAATTTATTTCACATGACAGAAATCTACAGCCTGAAACACTAATTTACCTTTGTAAAACCTGCTACAAACTGACTCAGTCAGGAAGCTGAGATCTCCATCTCCAGCAAAGTAAGTGTATACAGAAAAATCATAAACTCATAGGAAATGAGCAGTTCAACAGCAACATTCATCAGCTTTGTCAGCACCAAAATCATCACAAGGATGAACAAGGGCTTTTGTTGTATCTTTTTTTTTTTCTTTTGAACAGGTTCACCCTCTTGAATTAATGCGTAACAGCCTCAAACAGCTGCCAAATGTACCTGAATAAAACCAAAGTTGGACTCTAAGAGGAAAGTCCACTGGAACCTTAGGTATAGGGAAGGAGTGACTGAAATCAGTGTACTGTATCCTGGAAAACCATATTCTAAAAGACATTTTTCACAATTGAAGAGTGAGAGAACATAGACCCTCCAAATACATTCTAGGATCAGAAAGATCAATGCAATCCTTGAAGGGACAGATAAGCAGCAGAAAGGAGAGACATTATCTTCACAAAGAGAACACTCCCAGAATACCACATGCACTTCTGATGCTTTTGTTTTAAAAAAAACAAAAGGCAGCTACAAAAATCGAAGGCCTGGAAAACCTCTTTGCAACAAATCTACAAGCTTAATCCAAATTAATTACCAAAGAATATAAAGGCAGCAACGTGGTCACTGTCTGGAGAATTTTCATAGAAGACTTCTAAATTCAGCTAAAATAGGCATAAAAAGGACAAAATAGTTGAAAGTTGCAGGTTGGAAATAAAATATAAGTACACCTTACCAAGCACGTGATAAACTCTCCATCAGTTTAAGCCTTTTGTGTATACTCTTGTTCAGCTACAAGGTAATGAGCTGAATGATGCTCACTTATGTAGCAGGGAAATAATTCTATTCACTATGGGCTTCGAAGTTTTGTCATTCCCAGGTATAATGAAATTCAAAGATTAACAGATTTCAGGCTCAGAGGAACGCTTCAGCTTCTTGTTTTAACTCCAACACTTCTCATACCTGGAAAAATTAAGCCAAGATCTACCACAAGAAAAAGTTACAGCAACAAGGTAAATGTTTTTTGGAGAAGTAGAGCTGTTTTCCTTCATGATTCTAGGACAGTTTTATTGAAGGCACAAGTTTGAGCAGCGCATTGTCTGCATCTTCTGAGGGCTCTCAGGAAGAGGAGAAGGCGTGTAAAGGTAAGTCTAGCTACTGGAGGAACTTTAGTCACTTCCTATCAAAGTTGGACAACCAGAGTACTAGAGATTCTCTTCTCCCCAGCACTGCACAGCCAAAGGAAGAATAGCTGTTCAGCTCGCACCTCTACCAGCAGCACTACTCAGTTCTGTAAGATGACCCCTTTGAATGAAAAGCACAAAGGGCTGAGTATCATCTTTCTTACTTATTCCATCCTAGCTCCATCTGTGCTAGGACTTAACCTGATTCCATCCATTTCAGCATGTCAGAACAGCTAGTGAAACCTCTGCTCTCAGGAAGGTGAGGAAAGAGTTAAAATCCAAAGTGTCCCAGAATTAAAAGTTTCAAATCTGGACCCTGTCAGTTCTCTTGTTTATGATGCACATTCCCTCCTGACAAAACACTTTTACACTGTGGTGGCTTCATGTCAGCCTGGAAAAGACTGCTTATATATGTTTTAAATATCGTACAGATACTGGGGAAGTAGAGGTATAAAACACCTAATACTCTACTTCTTGAGAGTGCGGGCAGGTGGCGTAACCACAAAGCAACTTCTCACTTTCTCAGATGTCTCAGGGATTTCACATTTCTCTCCACTCCAACTGTGTTAGTGCCACTAGGCAGTTTTCTCTTTATTTCTAAGTTTTGGTAAGCTTTCCTTTTCAGTGCAGGGAAGACCTCACAGAAATAGAGGTTTTCATTTTTGTTTCTAGACCTAGTCTGTGAGGGTGCTCCCCCTCCCTCCCAACTTATAAAGCATGTTTTGGGCAAGAAAAGCTGTTCTTATCGTGCAGGGTACTGAGACACAAGGCTCTCATTTCAAAGTAAGACATCACAGTGATGTAAGCCAGTTTCCTCCCGAAGCATATGGGAACTCTGCTATGAAGGCATCACATTCCAGCCTGTGTGTTTCCGCCACCCCCACGGGGACACCTTTTCTCCTTGTTCTTAAGTACCTCCCTACTCATGCCTGAGCAAAACAAGTAAGTACCAAAGAACACTCTATAAAAACATTCACTGGCTCCTGAGAAGACCTGTAAGCACACCAGGAGAATATTCTTACAGAAGTTACATATTGTCATTTCTGCAGATAATCAGAGGATGAGAGAAAAGTAGATGTCTAATGCATGTACTTTCCAAGCTTCCAACAGTTCGCATTTTAAGACCTTAATACAAAAAAACCCCACCAAACACAAAAAACCCCCAAGTGTCAGAATTAAATCATACTGCTCACACATATCTAAAGTCATTTCATACAGAGCCAACCATGGATATAATTTTGTAAAGATTACACGATTCCAGGAAGTACAGCCTGAATTTTTAAAAATCACAATGGAAGTGATTTAGAAACGTAAGTTAAGTAGCATGTTCTTAAAATGCATACTTAGTGAAAACACCACCTTCTACACTGTATCTGTCACACTTTCCTACTTTAGAGGTCAAATTTTACAACTCTAAGGTTTCTGGCTGTATTACATTGTACTTTCAGGAGAAAGCATATCTTTCTTTAGATATTTTAGGCATTTTGTTTTAGCGCGTATCATACATTTCCACCCCGGACTCATACGTCAAATTGCAAACATATGTTGTATTTAAATATTTCCTCTATTGTCCATTACCATGCTAATGCCTGCATGGAGTACTTTGTCTTATTTGGGATTTCTTTAGCCTGTGACTGTGATATTTGATCACAAATGATACCCTAATTCCAATTCAGCTGTTAATCTCCATCTCCGCTGGAAACTGTTTTTCTTTCCCATAATTCAGTGATGTAACCTATTTTCTTTTAACGGCCTTAAAATATTTCAGGAAGATGTAACTATTTTGAGAAGTTCTGTTAAATACCTTTTTCTTTATGCTGAAAAATCACCTGCAAGAAGTTAGAAACTGCAGCATATCAGACAAAAGGTGAATGTAACAAAAAGTTAGCAAGTTTTATACTTTAGAAATGGAAAAGAGTATCACGTTTTTGTGACACGATGGCTTTTTATACTACGGAAGCCAAAGGTCCTCATCTCATTCATTCTGTACTGAAGCTAGGTTCCTAGTATCATCTGCACTCAGCCGTGTTAAAGCAGTCATGAATTGCACACACACTTACTGAGACTAACAAAAATCAACCTAAGAACCTGATCTAGTGTATTTAGATTTCCCAGTGAGAAGTGTGCATTTGCTAATCAATTGCTAAAAAAAATTATACCATACAATTAACATAGTAAAGTTGTTCTTCCTAATGTTTTAGCTTGACCACAATAAATAAGCATGACAATTTGCAAACATTTACCTCATTTTACTCTATTAGCTTCGCTATCCAAACATGAAATAATCTTCTATCTTCTACCAATGTCTCCATCTCCCTCACATTGCAGAACATTCCCCCCCCCTTACTTTTTTCTGAAAGAAAAGCTTAATTACACTTTAAGCGTAATTTA